TCCCTCCTCCCTTCCCGGCTCCAGGCGGCTCTGAAAAAGAGGTTTTGTTTCGCAGCTGTTTGCAGGAGAGCTTTTGGTAAAAATAATAATAATAAAACCTTACGGCGTAGGATACAGATTTTAGCAGTGTAAATACTGTGAATAGTCTGAAGAAAGAAGTGAGCAAATTGGTGTTTACTAGACAGATTTTCAGCTCAGGATTACAGTGGTAGAGTGGACTTGCGGTGCGTTGCCTGGTTTTAGGTATTCCAAATGAGAATCATCGTTTCCTAAGGGACGTGTGCTCATGTTAAACATTTGATGTCGTGCCTGGCCTCAAGCTGAGCTCTTCAGGCTGTTCCGAGTGCAAATGGAACTCTTGGTCAAGGTTGTACCAACATTTTTCCAAAGGCTACGTGGGCATTTGTCGTCTACAGATTCAGGAGCAGGCTAGGTTGCTGAAAGGGCCTTTAAGTGATGTGTGATATTGCAGCCCGTGGCAGGAGTAAAAGGTGTCCTGACCCGAAATTGTAGATGTTTGTAACAGAAATAATAAGATGGGTATGAATGAAGTGTGTCTGTTTGTGAAAGCACCGCAAAAATGGCAGATCAGGGGATAAAAGAATGCTGTGTATTAGCTGTTGCAGAGCCCCATAGGTATTCTTCAGTTTAAATTTTTATATAGCAAGAAAAGGAAGAACAGAATTAGATCCATAAAATATGTAGATAAGGAAGACAAAAGAACTGTGAAATTCACGAGTTTTTCCGAGGCTTATGTGGGGTAAGGTTGTAAGACGAAGGAGGCAAATAGAACCTGAACATCCACTCCTAAGTCCCATTTGGTGTTTTTTTGCTAAATATACACTGTATCGTAATGTGGCAACAATTAAAAAACAAACAAACAAACCCCAAGCTCAGACAGGACACTTGAAAATAAATGTAATCAGATTCACCTTCATTTGTCTGACAGTTATAAAGGCCACATTGGTTTGGTGTTGGGTTTTTTTTGGGGGGGGAGGGGTTGAAAGTAATTAAATTAGAGTTTGAGGAGGGAGAGGAAATGAAGACAAGAAAGTGAAGATCTCTGTTTAGATTGAAAATCTAGTGGTATTTGGTAACTTCATGCATCCCAAGACTTTAGCCCTGAAGTCAGTTGCCTAAAAAGTTGAGCCAAATGGTGGCTCAGGACTGCTAAAAGGGAGTAAACTCTTTCTGTTGCATCTTCTCTGGGACTTACCAATAAGCCAGATCAGCATGGTAAAATGGCAGAAAACAAACCCATCAGTTTGTTTCTCATCCCCAGCTCAGGAAGAAAAACAGTTCGATGTGCTAACTGTTTATACAGAGGTTAGATGAGCTTGAGAGTAGCACAGAATGGGGTGTGATGTGCTGTCAGAAGGAAGGGATGGAGCCATGGGATGCTCCTTTTAGTAGTAGTGAACTGTTAGGTTTAGCTGTCTTGTACTGCTGGTGGAGAGTGATTTGTGACTTAACAGCTGTGTGGGAAAGAGAAAAGGAAGCACAGTTATGAAGGCAAAAGTGTACTTTCACTCATCTAATTTTTCTTTCCTCCTGCATCAAGCTGGAATAAATGATGGTAGCAAAATGCATTTAGGCATGTAAACACTAAATTATTGTTAACATGTTTCTAGGATAGACCCAGACGAAATGGCTTCCAAGCTTTTTTTATGTTAAGTTTCAAAAACTAAAGGAGCAATCTGCAGTGTGAGTATGTGATCTTCCCCTTCTTCCGTGTAAAGACTGGGAAATATAAGTGTATATTGTCTTTGTAAAAGGAAAAAAGGCATACAGGATTATGCTGCTTTTTTTTTTTTTTTCCACAAAACCATATAGTAGTTTGTATTGAAAAATGTTTCTTTTTCTGTCAGCTTCAACAAGGAGAAGAGGCAGGACACCGCAGTTTATAAGATCAGTAAGTACTGAAACTGTTTGCAGTTAACTCAGAGGTGTTTGAAAAAGTTTTCAAAGCTGTATGTCTTAACAGGAACCCCTTCTGCATTCAAAACCTGGTGAAACAATCCACTGTGACTATTCCAGAACCTGCACCTAGCTTCTTTAATCTCCCAGCTATTTTCAGTCTGTGTTGTCATAAAGGCAAAAACTTTAACAATAACAAGCTAACAGTTAGCTTGTATTGACACCATGTACTGCAGGTCTTAAAAGTTGCATTTAAAACAAAAACAGACATTTTAATGTTGTTTTCATTAAGAGTTTACAGGATTCGTAGTGGTTGCTTTCTGGCGTAATTAAAAAATCTGATATTGTGCATAAGTGAAATTGTTCTTGCACAGTAGAATTAAAACTGATATCTGAACATCTAATCACTGAGAATTTTCTTACTTATTTCACACATAAATTTCAAAAGTAGTATGTTATGTGTTATGATTTTTAAAGGCAAATAGTAAAGGTGGACCTGGCATGTATTAAATTTTTGTTTAACTTCCAAGAGCAGATTTAATGATACACCAAAGCAGTCAGATCAGCTGACTGCATATATCCATTTGTCTTTTACCCTTCTAAATTAAAAATTAAAGTTTTGGGGAACTTGTTTTTTTTTTTAAGACCATTTGACTGAAACCTTGGTCAGTTATTGGAGGATATAAGCTATTTCTGCAATATAGTAATACATAGCTCCTATACTGGAATTTCTGTAGCAAGTAATTTCAGAGTTATTAATACCTATTTCTTTTAATATGAACTTGTTCAGACTTTCAGAATTCCAGAATTTTAAAACTCATTTTCTTGCCCCCCACCAAATGCTTAGGCACTTTAGGAAATAGAGTTTGCAATTAAATACTGATTTCATTCCCCTTCCTCCCCCTGCTGATTTATCACAATGCAAGAAGATAATTAATTCTTCTTTCTAAACATTTTTGAAATAAAATGCAGTTGAAGATTGGGAAAGGCCTGCTACCCAAGCTTTGAGGGGCTATCTTTTAAAAATTCCTATACAAATGAGTACTAACTTTTGATGTAAAGCTGTCTTGAAATTTCTAGCTATGGGAATTTATTCCTGAAATAACTTGTATGTGTTGCTCCTGCTTTGTTTCACAAAACAGTGTATCTTCCATCAAACTTCTATAATTTTCAATTTATTAGCATGCACCTCCCAGAACTGAGAAGATGACTGTTGATCAGGACTGGAGCAGTGTTTATCCAACAGCAGCTGCGTTTAAACCTGCCTCTGTGCCTCTCCCAATTCGAATGGGTTACCCAGTGAAGAGAGGAGTACCTCCACCAAAAGAAGGCAACTTAGAACTTATAAAGGTAAGATGCATTCCATTGGTGTGTGATAACTTTTGAAATCATTATTCACTAAGAGTGCACTGCTTTGATTGCAATATTTGTATTGGATACTGTTTTCTGTTATTAAATAGGATAATATTCTATTTCATTTCTAAATTAAATGGTAAAAAATACAAATGAACCAAATCAGGAGACATTTTTAGGATTATCATGCCTGTGACTTTTCTAATGGGGCTTAACTTAAGTCTTGCACTAAATCAGACTTGAGAAGAGTCTTCTTATCTGAATATTTTATTAAGCATATTGTACTACCTTAACAAATGTTAAAAGTGTAATCGGATTTCAGTAATGCCCCTTTATTTATGAGCAAACAAAAAGCTATTATTGTAGTAACTCTTAATATGTTTGTTTCAGATTCCCAATTTTTTACATCTTACTCCTCCTGCAATTAAGAAACACTGTGCAGCTCTTAAAGGTGAGGGTTTTTTTGGTTTTGTCGGGTTTTTTTTCTTTTTTCTGTTTTTAAAAAACATCTCTCTTGGAGTTTTAAGACGATGCAAAATGTAACTGTGTTTGAAGTAGGTGAGACATGGTCCACCTCTGAAGCTGGTTATTTGTCAGGTTTTGGCTAGTATTGTATGCTTTCTTGTTGCTGCATTGAGTTGTATAGGTAGTAGGCAGATAACGTCTTAGGAGGTTTTCAGCACACCAGTAAGACTTTAATTTTACCTTTCCATTAGGCCCTGCTTGTAAATTTATAGTTTAGTGTCTTAAGGAAGATGAGTGATGAATGTGATTCAGTTCTCAGAAGATTATCTGTGATTAAACGAGGGTTTAATCAGCAGCCGTTCTGGCATGCATTTTAAAAAACTGCTATTAATAAATGAAACCCTCTGTGAGAGCAAAGTCTGCTGGGGAGATAAAGGATCTAATGAAGACCAAGAGCATCTCTGCCAGCCAGCAAGCCAATAAGGAGAACCTAATGAGGAGGTTAGCCCAAAGAGAAGTGGAGGCACAAGGGGACAGGGAGGACATAGAATCATAGAATCATTTAGGTTGGAAAAGACCCTTAAGATCATCGAGTCCAACTGTTAACCTAACACTGCCAAGTCCACCACTAAACCATGTCCCTAAGCACCACATCTACATGTCTTTTAAATACCTCCAGGGATGGTGACTCAACCGCTTCCCTGGGCAGCCTGTTCCAATGCTTGACAACCCTTTCAGTGAAGAAATTTTTCCTAATATCCAATCTGAACCTCCCCTGCTGCAACTGGAAGCCATTTCCTCTCATCCTGTCGCTTGTTACTCGGGAACAGAGATCGACACCCATTTCATCACAACCTCCTTTTAGGTAGTTGTAGAGAGCGATAAGGTCTCCCCTCAGTCTGTATGATAAGAGGTAAGAGGCCTGTCTTGAGTTGCCTATATACAAATGCATGCAGCATAGGAAACAGGAGGAATTAGAAGTCTGAGGAGTCACAAAAATGCAGAGAGAAAGCTTACGTGACTGAGGTGCAGGCAGGGATGATGCGGAGGAGGAGCTGACCTGTATCCAAAAGAACAGCTCAGATGCAGAGCTTTGCTATGAGATGTGTAGCAAGCTGGTTGAGAGTTTAAGAGTAGGGATCAGAGGAGAAGCTGAAAAGGTTGTGTTGGTGGACATCTGCCACAGACTACCTGGTGAAGAAGAGGAAGTGGATGAACAGCTGAAAAAAGCCTCACAACTGCAAGTTTTGGTTTTCATGGGGAACTGCAGCCATCAACATCTGCTGGACAGGTAACAGGATGGGATGGAAGCAGTTTAGGAGATTTCTGGAGTGCGTTGCAGATAATTTCGTGATGAAGATGTCAGATGCTGGACAAACTGTCTATGGGAAGGTGCTGTGTTGCACGTGCTACTTGCAAGTATGCAAGAACTGGTTGGAGATGTCAAGGTTGCTGGCAGCCTTGGTTGTGAAAAGAAGATTGTGGAGTTTAAGATCTTGGGAGAAGGAATGCAAGTAGTGTATTGAAGGCAATTTCTCGCTGCAGACGATCGATGAGTTGACTAGGAGGCATGCTCTCTTAGATTTGTTGTTCAGAAACAAGGAAGAACTCGTCAAGTATGTGACGGTTAGGGGCATCCTTGCTAACAGCGTTCATGAAACTGTGGTGTTTAAAATCCTGAGAGAAGTGAGCAAGACAGACAGGGGAACTAGAGCCTGGACTTCAGGAGAGTGATTTTGGTTTATTTAGGAATCTGCTTGGCAGATCTCACAGGGTACTCTCCTGGGGAGCAAAGTGGCCCGTGAGAGCTGGTGGATGTTTGTTCAGCCTCCTTAAAAGAGCAAGAATGGTCCATTCCAGTGTACAGAAAGTTGAGCAAGTATGGCAGAAGGACAGCATGGGTGTGCATGGAACTCCTGCGTGACCTGAAATGCAAAAAGGAAGTACACAGAAAGTGGAAGCAGGTAAAGACTACCGGGAGGAACAGGAGATTTTTGCCTGACCGTCTTCAAGAATGGCAAGAAAGAAGATGCAGGGAACTGCAGGTCAGCCAGCCTCACCACATTCCCTGGAAGATTATGAGACAAACCTTACTGGAAGCCATTTCCAAGCATGCGAAAACATGCTTTATAACCTGGATAATGGTAGGGAGCATAACCTCAGCAGGTCTTCAGATAATAATGAATTGGGGGGGAACACTGGAGAGCAGAGCTGTCATTCAGAGGGATGTCAACACACATGAAAAAATCCGCTGCAAGGACCCTCATGAAGTTAAACAAGGGCAACTGCAAAGTCCTGCATCTGGGATGGAATAACCCATGCAGCAGTACAGGTGGGTGGGATGGGAGGGTGGCAAACAGCTAGAAAGAAGCTATGCAGGAAAGGCCACTTGGAGACTGGTGGTTATTAGAAAGTTGAACATGAGTCATCAGTGTGCCCTTGTGGCAAGGAAGGCTAACCGCATACTGGGTTGTATTGATGAGAGTGTAGCCACCACATTCAGGAAGTTAATTCTTGCCCCTTTATTGAGTGTTGCATCCAGTTCTGGGGTCCCCAGTACAAGAAGGACGTGGACCCATTAGAGGAGGGCCACACAAGTGACCAGAGGGCTGGAACACCTCTCCTGTGAAGAAGGGCTGAGAAAGTTGGGATTGTTCAGCCTGGAGAAGAGAAGGCTCTTAGGGGACGTTATTGTCACCTTTCAATATATAAAGGGGGCTTATATGAAAGATGAGGAGAGACTTTTCACCAGGGCCTGTAGTGACAGGACAAGGGGCAACGGTTTTAAGGTAGAGGAGGCTAGATAATTAGATTAGAGATAAGGAAAACATTTTTTTATGATGAGGGTGGTGAGACACTGTAAGAGCTTGCCCAGAGAAGCTGTGGATGCCCCATCATTGGAAGTATTCAAGGTCAGGTTGGACAGGCCTTTGAGCAGCCCAATCTAGTGAAAGATGTCCCTGCCCGTGGCAGGGTGGTTGGATGAGGTGATCTTTGAAGGTCGCTTCCAACCCAAACCATTCTATGATTCTATTTGGCAGTTGTGAGACTACATCTGGAGTATTGTATCCTGTTTTGGGGAACCCAGTTCAAAGAAAGATATTGAAATACTGGAGCAAGTCTAACAGAGACCCTGCCGTTATCTAAATGAGTATGGTTTCTATAAATAGTACTTTTAAAAAGGTATATTGCAATAAATTTGGGAAAAAACCCCCAACCAACAGGTATTACTTGGATTGTTTTGTCTTTATTATACAGATTTCTGCACTGAATGGCCAAGTGCTTTGGACAGTGATGAGAAATGTGAACGGCATTTTCCTATTGAAATTGAAACAGTAGATTATGTTTCTGCAGGGACATCTATTCGTAATCCCAAAGCAAGAGTGGTGACTTTAAGAGTAAGTAGTATTTTTGGTAAACAGCCTTTGTTTCAAAAATTCAAATGCTTGGCTTTCTTTTAAAAACATGTGCAACTATGATATGTTGTAAGGAAATGAGGGAAGTAGTTTACTGAATGTCTGAATAAAAAGCAGTGGATTTCCTTAAGTATATTGCAGCATGTTAGAACTGAGGTTGTGAGGTTATGGATATGTAGTTATAAATTAAGACTAAGCTCCGATATAAACAAAATAGTGTACCTTCTGAAGAATCTACTTATAGAAAAGGCAGTAAGTGCCTTTGTACTCAGTGTCTTGCTTAGACTCTCTCATTGCTAATTTATAGACCCTAGAAGTGCACAAGTATTGAAAGCTAGGTCATATGAATGCAGCACTACTAGTAAGTATTGAGTTGGCAGACCTCCAGGCATCAGTGTGTATGCAGTAGGGGCAGCAGCCTTCTGATCATAGGGTCATGCGTTACTTGAGGTTGAAAGGGAGCTCAGGAGTTTTCCAGTCTGACCTTCTGCTCAAAGTAAGGTAGGTATGAGATTAGATGAGGTTACTTGGAACTTTTTCCAGTTGGGTCTTGAAAACCTTCAGGGCTGGAGATTGCACAACCTCTATGGTCAACCCGTTCCTGCTCGCCTGTCTTCATGGTAGTAAAGTTAGGATTGTGCTGTGGCTTTTGAACATGCCTTTTGAGATGAGATTTGAGCCTATCTGAAGAGCAGCAGCAGCGATGGGGTCAGTGATAGTTGTGTTCTTACTCTGTCAGTATAGAAGTTAAAATACTGCATGGTACCACATGCTCATAACACCTATACAATATCTAATCATGGCAACTTTGAACAGTAGTAGTTAATTTTGTCTGTTGGAGTCTCCACTCTCCTTGTTGTAAAACCTTTTGGGCTGAAATTTAATTTGGTCTGTGTGCTGGTTTTGGCTGGGGTAGACAGTCTGTCATTGACGTAAATATGCATTTCACACCACTGTTAGCAGTAACTTCACCATCCCCTTGTAGTCATTACATACTAGAGTTTAGCCTTCTGTCTCCTAATTCAGATACATGGTCAAGAGCAAGTTTTCACAAATTTGTATGCATTAGAAATAAAAGGATATAGAGGGTATCTATGACAATAGAAGCCCCTGACTTCATGCTGGGTTGTGAATGTGTGCAGGAGGAGGCACACATTGGACCCCCCTTGCTCCCATATTCACTTATCTTGGATGGAGTAATACTGACATTTGCAGGTCAGTACTGAGCATGGTGTCACAGGTAGGGGGAAGAGCACAGCTGCTCAAACAGCCTTGAATCTCCTCCTGGTAAAAACAGCAGGTGGTGAGCGTATGTAAACTTCTTGCTTTCTAAATCATGTAAAACATTGAGATATAAATGTCTTCTCTTAGATGTGGCTGTTGAGATACAAGCTGTTGGACTAGGGGTCAGCTATGCTGCAGTGGAGAGGGTAATTCAAAATGATACAAAAATGGAACAATTATCCACATGCTTTTTCAGTTACTGGTGTTCTGATCCCAGACTTCATTAATAAATGCTTTCTCTGGTTAATCCTCTGACAACAAAATCTGCCTAGGGAGGGGGAAGAGAAGATTTAAAGGTGAAAACAGATGGCACTGGGTCAGCTAGCGGTTGAGTTTGTATCAATGAGAGAGCATTTACTGTGCGTTGTGTTACAGACTATGATAAACTCTCTGGTGGATCTTCATGATAAGATTTCCTTTTTAAAATATTGCTTAAAAGTTAAACCTTTCTAATCTTAATTAAAAAATTATGTCTTTTTTCTACCAGGTATCATACTGGAGATGCTAATTTTTCATCTCTTGTAGCCTAATGCCAGTGTTTCTTGTCACTAAATTTATCCTAGTCTATTCCCAAGTGGAATTGTCCACATTGTGCCAGACAACATAGTACCACAGGACATAGAATGAGACTTTTCTTTTTTTAAATCAACTGCTGTTCCTTGTGGAGCTCTAACTTTTCTAAAATTCAACATAAAATAGTCTGCAGCATTCCAGCTAACGATTATAAGCTGTCCAATTGCTATCCCATTTTGAAGCAAGTAGCCATTAAATATTTGTCACTTTAAAGTGACTTTGGATTAATAAGAACATCTTTTTTGTGACCCTGTAATATAGGAAACAGACCAGATAGCTTTTTAGTTTTTATAGGAAAAGCAAGTCATGTGGAATAAAATCATAGCTCTCTAACAGTAAATTTCAAATGACCACACTGTATGAAGGCAGCATGATACAACTATGATAATGCCATCCTTTTAAGACAGTGCAAAAAGTACTACTTAATGAAATTGTTTTGCAGTGTTGGTTAAAGCAAGCTAATGCTGGACACCTGGGCTGGAGTATCCCATTAAGTTTAGACAGTCATGGTTATAAAGTGCTTACATGCACTAGCAGTTGCATGCTTGCCAGAGAGTTGTGTCCAAAACCCTTTAGAGTTTGGAGCATTCCTTCTTTCTGTGGGTGTGAGAGAAGGATAGTGTTAAGAAAATGTGTTTTACAAAAAGGCGTTTCTCATCAATTTGAGTGAGCATTGCCAGGCAGCAGTGAGGGTAGGCTGTTCTGTAAGGGAAGGTGATCCAGGGGCAGTAAGGCAGGCAGGGGCAGTGACCTCCCCAAAAAGGGTGCAGCTACTACCTGAGCAAGGTGAGCAGGACAGGCCTGGTAACAGTAACCTTGTCCATCCAACAGCCCAGTAATCACCTGACAAGTTCATAATGATAAGGCGAGTTTGAGGTCAAAGCAGGAAGAGAAGTCAGTGGATCAGGATCAGGTCTGGTGAGAGTAACTAGGATCAGTCAATGGTCTGGTGATTGTCAAGCCAATCCATAGCGATGCAGTAGGTGAGGTCAAGCCAGGAAGTCAAGGATGTGTGTCAGGGTTGGGTCAGTGTGGGCCATGGCTAGGCACAGACATAGCTGCGTTGTGGCTCAGGCAGAGACCAAGGCTGAGTGCCTCAGCTTAGGTGCAGCTTCTCAGTAAAGCTGGGGCAGGCCCATCTTCTCATAGCTCCTTTTTTTTTTGTCACCACTGATTGAAGGCTATGTGGCTGCACTGTATGGAAGGGCACTGTATGTAAGGAAGCCTTGACCCTTAGAAGAGGTTGCTGTGTGCGTAGGGAGCTTTTTTTTGCAGCTTGACCATTGCCTTAAAGACTGGATGCACCTAATAGGTCTGTTAGAATTAGACTTGACAAAATGTGAGCTAGGGAGCAAAGCTAGGTGAGCTCCTGCTTACCAGTATTACAGGCATGCATAGTAATGAGCATGTAATTCCTTAAAAAGAAGACATTTTTCATATAATCTGTGGAGTAGTGAATAGTAGGGGTTTTTTTCAAGATTAGAAGTTCCAGTATTGAAACCCTGTTGTCTCCTCCCTTGTCACATTTAGGTTTAGTACTTCCGTTTTCTATTTTTAGTAGTAGGGTTTTTTCTTTTCAGGTAGTACTTTTTTCCCTGATATTTATTGGAGCTTCTAGTTTCTTTTAGTCCTTCAACTTTTGTTAGTTTTTCTGATGCAGGTTTCTTGATTTTTGAACAGTCCTTTAGTACAGCAATGACACAGTAGAAAGAACATAGAGGAAAAACAAACAGTGGGCAAGCGAGTAAGAGACTGCTATTATGTCTTCATGTTTTTAATATTCCTCAGCAACTCCCACTTAATAGAAACTTATCTTTCCAACACCATATATCTTTAGACTGTTAAGGTTCACAGCCTTCTTATTTGCTATTGTGTAAACAGATAGCTAAAACCAGCTTGCTTTACTTTTCATACTTGTTTATTGCATATAGAAACTAGCTTCAGACTAACTTTGTAGAGGTTTTTTTAAATAAGTACTAGTTATTTGTTTTATATCTTATGTTTGTGGGTTGTCTGGTATTGAAACAGAAGACAAGCCATTCACACTATTGTTTGATGAATTATGTGAGATTGGACAGTTCTGGTCCATTATATTGTCATCTGTGTGCATCTTTGCATACTTCTATTGATCTCCCAGTAATGACTTTGAGAATAGTGATTTGATGTCTCTTGAACTGACATCTTTCCTCCTCTTTTGGATGCTTGTCATAAATATCTTTGATATATCTTGGTATTAAACTTACTGATCTGTATTTGAAAAAAAAATCTTAAAAAAGATTTATTTTTCCATATGAAGTACACATGAATATGAAATACAGCTACAAACTAAACTGACAGCTCTTTTTTCCTCTGAAAAAAAGTTTGAGTAGAAATATTCTCCCCCAGCCCCTCTGGTATTTGGATAAAGATATTTATTGTTTGAATATTCAGATTATACTTGCCTTGTGTTAAGACTTCTGACGTGATACAATCAGAAGAAATTCTGCAAATGCATACTTAATAGCTATCCTTTCAATTCTTGATAAAAGATGTGCCTATCTATCTCAAAATACTTTCAGGGTGCAGAGATTTGATTTATCCAAGTAATTAAAGGTGTTTTCTCTTGTATTTGGAGGTTAAACTTTCTCATCTGAATTTGGATGACCATGCAAAGAAGAAGCTCATTAAACTTGTAGGAGAACGGTACTGTAAGGATACAGATATGCTCACAATTACAACGGACAGGTACGGTTACAAGAAGGAAAAAAAATGCCTGTAGCAATGGTCACAGTATAGAAAGGGCTGGGTGTCTTCCAGTAATATCAATTATTGTCTTAGTAAATTATTATATTTTTAAGGCTAAAATATGACTTAAGATAAATAGATAAGATACTCCTGTTATTAACTGTTAAAATACTAATGGACAAATCACATAAGGTCAAACCTAATATTTGTTAAATATTGCTAGTTATTGAAGCTCTGTATTTAGAAGTCTCATTTGTTATTTTAAAGTAGTTGTCATGTTTCCCAAATCGGTTCTGTTAGTTCTAACAATGATCTGAAGAGTTTCAGGCAAGAAAAATGGGGATATTGGTGCCCAGACATTTCTCAGTGTTCTGGTGTTCTAGATATAAACAAATCACTGTAGTTATTTACAGTTATGTTCAGAAGGCTGCATGGAAGAAATGTGTTTTCTGTGTTGAATTCTGAAGACTGTAAGAGATACATACGTATTCCTAAATTCACAATAAACTTTAATTCACAGCTGCTTTCAGTGGTAGGAAAAACATTATTGCTAGTCTTTTCTGTTTGCATGTTTTTATTAGAATTCATTTTCCCCTCTTAAATTTCCTGTCCTTTGGTAGGAAATACTGTTTTATTTCTGCATAAAGTAAATACAAATTGGATAAAATTGTGCATATCTTTTTCGACAAGACTTGGAAATCTGGGTGGTTTACTGGGACCACTTGTGCTACCAACAGTTTTCATTTCCCTAGCAAGACTTATTTTGTGGCTAAAACATTAGTATACCTGAAAGGAGCTTACCCCCTAGAGCACCTGTGAATGGTCTCATGCTGTGTTCCAGAAGAAACTTAATGTGCCTGCTGATATTTCACTTTATTTTTAGTAAATTCTAAGGCCTAAGCTCTGAGTGGTATCCATTTCTTTAATACAGGATTTTCCAGGCTGTTTCACTAGGAAAGAAGTAAGAGTCAAAAGCTTGAGTCCTTTTTAAATTTATTTGCTAGAATAGTCATAGTCCGTAGTCATTCAGATGAGTGTTTTTAGAGTGCGTCAGACGCAGTCTCGCATGATTCAATTTGTTCTGCATCAAAAAGCAGGGGGTGAAGGAGCCTGCAGGAAGAGGTGAGTGTGAGAAAGAGGCAGGAGGTTATGGGTGATCAGCATGAGGAAGAGATTAATTTGCAGGACTGTGTCTTATCACAACAAATTTTACTGGTGATCCTGTTTGGACTTACAGCTACATTGACTTAAACTTTTCCTGTTAAATTGTTGGATAGATCTTCTGTTCTGAACTGTATTTCATGGCCGTTTTCAGCAGTCATTCTCCTCCCTTCAGGTCTGGAGAAAAAAAAAAAGAAGAAGATTTTAAGGGAGTTCAGACTAAAATATGTTTGATTCCACTTTGGCACAGAGGACAAAGATGTTCTTAATGTTTCCTGAAGTTCTGTAAATTCTTGCATTATTTTCATTTTTGACCTGCAGATGCCCATTCTTCCATGTCCTTAATACTCATACTTTCACTATGTTGTTCTTGATTGTGTGTAATTCAGAAATGCATGTGAATCAAACACACATTTCCCTAAGATTCCCTACATTACAAGTAATGGTAAGTTACCATTACATTGATGGTAAGTTTAACATTTTATTCAAAAGGATATTACAGTGGCTTGATTTCAAAAAGACTAGCTTTGTTTATGAATTTTCAGGTGTCCGCTAAGAAGACAGAACTATGATTATGGCATACACCTCCTCACAGTTCTGTACCATGAATCTTGGGTAAGCAATTGTGAATAACTCGCACTCTCTTGTAACTTACAAGAAGTTCCATGACTGTGTGCAGCTTAAAGTAAATTATCTTGGATTCTTTTCCTCTTCCACCTCACTTTTCTTCAAATTCAACCAAGATAAGTTGCTTATGTTTGAATCTTATTCCCCAGTCAACTTGAGTGCATTTCTTTAACTTCACAAGTGCTATTCTGTTGTTTGTATACATAGTTTGCCTCTTTTCAGAAGTTCTCTAGTTTTTGACCTTAATAAGAGATTCTTTCCCAATACTTTTTCTCACAACAATGAGCCTAAAACTGACCCTGAGCCTAGCAGAAAACACCTTAATTCTCAGGATTCCTAAACGTACCTTTAGTTTGGTGGCATGCTGGGCTGCCTAGGCACAGTATTCAAATATGAACTGAGAGCATCCAGAGAAATGGTGTACTCTGTGATTATCACCTGTTATCGATGCATTTTTAATAGTGACCATGTTTAAAGATGAAAACAAGTCTATTCCAAAAAAGCAGAGAGGCGTGTTACTGGCTTTAAAGCTATGAAAACTAACATACAGCAAAGTATCTACATTTTGCCTGATTTCAAACTCTTACCTGTTACTTAGAAATTGTCTTTTCTTGGGCTCTTCCTGGGCTGCGGTAAACCATGGCTGTAATTTGGAAGTATTCTGCTTCTTAAATACTCTCTCACAAATCTTTCCTCAAGCTGGAAGGAGTGAGGACTTAGGCTGCTTTTCTGAGCTCCCTTTTGCTCAGAAAAGGGACATCCTCCCCACCTTCTGATAGTTTTAGGATTTCATTGCATCAGAGTTAGTGTCCTGAAAAATATATAAAATTATTGTAACTCTTTAGATAAATATTTCTACCAAAGCAAGTGTAATGTAAACTTTCCTATAATCATTCAGGATATGGCATATTTGGAATTTTTCCCAGTAGTTTGTTTTGTTAAATGGTTATACATGTGAAATACCCAGTGTAAATGTATTAAAGATACTATTTCAATTTATTGATAATTGACTACAATTCTTAAATAGTCCTCTAAATATAAGAAGATCTCTTTAGACCTCAGATCTTTCTTTGACAGTGAATTCTTCAGACTTGTCTCCCCTATTTTTGTGGTTAATCATGTTGGTTATAAGTATTGCCTTCAACAATTTTACAGCCATTTTTTACAGAAAACAAGTTAGCAGTCTGAAATGAAATTATTGTTGAAAACCCATAGTTATGTTTTGGATAACTTAACTTTGTTTAAATGTGGTATGTTATTAGTCACATTGTTTGAGACAGACAGTGAAAGCCTTCATCATGAGTATATTTCCACAGATGTACTCTTTTAAATAAGTTGTAGATGAGTAGTTACCAAAATTCACGTTTATTGTTTTCAATTGTTCTATAGTATTTAAATTAAATCTCTATATTTAGCACTTTTATGAATTTCAGTGTTCTTGATTTTGATCGTTCCAGAGATGACATAAAAAACATAATAAGGAGGATGAGCTATATTTCCCTTTCACTGGAAGTTGCCTTGAAGGATATGTTTTGTAATTGTAGAGTGCATCAAATTAAATTCATCTTATACTAATATCTTAAAAGATACATTTACTTTAGATTTCAAGTGCTTTGTACACATGGATATTTTTCTCCCCAACAGCATTACATTGCATTACAAATCTTAAATTAATGACAGATCAGTTTCCAGTATTAAGCAGTGACAAGAGCTAGACACTACTCACTTCATTAATTCCAGACGAACACCACATCTGTCCTTTGCTCTAGCATTACTTAGTGATGGAAGACAGGGCTATACGATACTGCTATGTGAGTGTTCAGTGTGTATTGAATATGCACAAGTCTCTTGCCCTTTTACTACCTTTCAACTTCCATGTTAATATTTGATGAGGTTGTCAATAAGTTGTAATTGTCTTTGATTTCCATGAAAAATTAATGGTCTCCTGAGACATGTTTTTTTATTTTGTGTGACATGTTTTGTTTTCTGTTTTGTTGGTTTTTTTCCCATGATCAGTGGTAATGCCTTTTAATAACTTGCTGAAAGATATTTTGGACACATTTTGTAAACCATAAGCAAACAATGTGTGTTTTTTTTTAATTTGTACTAACTTTAATGTTGGAGGGGGATGGATGGGAACTGGCCTTCCATGTAGACAGTAACATCAATCCTGTTTACAGAACTAATTGCAAGATTTGATGACTTTCCCAGCAGAGTAGTGCCACACTGTGTTTTCATGCATGTGCGTGATGGAATTCAATAAAAAGATGAGGGCAGTGTTCCATTCTTGCTAAGTGAAGGGAAAGCTGGCTGCATGTAAATTTTGCCCTCAATCCTGAAAACTTTGCCTACTATCTCTCTAAACATGGCATAACTACAATTTATGTTAATAACTGGATTACTGAATTTTGCGAACCAGAAAGCATGTGAATATATATAAAAGGAAAAATTGTATGCAGATATACATCAGGAAATGTAATTTCAAACGTAATTATATTTTAATTGCCAGTGATGCATAATTCTTTTATTACAGTTACGAACTAGAGCATCCAAGTAGTTTAGGAATCTGAAACCTTTTTAAAAGAATGACTGTTCTTTGTGGTTTTGTTGGGTATGTAGTGAACTATGTGCTATGAAGCTCTGTTGTGAAGAGATGCATTTCCAGCAGAAGGTTATTCTTAAAGTAATGAGTATGAAGAGTTTAATTCTGGTTCGTCTGTCTATGCATGCTTAGAAGACAAAATTTACCACTGTGTCAACAGTAGCCTCTGTATTACAGATTTTCTTGTATACTTTTCCAGTCTTGGCTTCAATAAAAACCCAGGGCATCCACTGCTCACTAATTCTATTGCAATTAGAGGGCTCAGGTGGAATTAGTTTGCAAGAATCCTTGTTGTAATGGAGTTACAGTTGAAATATGCAACAAGTGTGTGCAGACAAAATAGAAAGGAAAGAGGGAGGATTACCAACAGTTGGTACAGGTATTGCTCTACCTCAAGGCTCTGAATACGTTGTTAAGAATGGATTTCTTTCTTGGATTGTGATGTGGGGAAGAGGGTTTGTTTGCATTTAAATAAATTAATAAAAGTTTATCCAAATGGAATTTGGCAAACTGGTTTCTGAGAGGTACCACAGCCAAAGCGAGGGAAGCATGTTGATAGGTTAATGCACTGACTAGCATTTTTGACTCCTCTAACCTGCTAGCAATGAATGGATGATGCAGGAAGGCACACTAGCCACATTGTGAAAGGCTTTGAAGATATGTTGGAGCATTGAACCTTGTATAGAGAAGCTTTCAGAGAAGTTCAGGTGTTTTTTATAACCATGTGTGTAAGAGCTCCCTTTTTTGAATGCATGGGGAAATAAGAAAAAGGGAAGGAATTGAAAGGAAGGAACAACTTTACTTTTCTAAAGTTTTTTTTTGTTTGTTTGTTTTTTGTAGAAGGAGTAAATGAATGTCTGTTTTGTTTTGGTTTTGTGAGTGTTAGAGGGAGCATAGTTTCTACACTGTGGGAGGGGGGGATGGGAAAAGAATTGTCAGACTGTTGATAGATGGTCAGAGTAAAGAGTTAAGATGAAGAAGCTGACAAAGGAGGCAGGATTTCAAAAAGCTACATTCATGACTTGGGAATGGAGAGTGTAGGTGAAGCTATTTGATTATTTGCAGGAGAAGGGGGATACTACTGGATAGCCTTTTGGGCTACATAAGCACTGCAAATTGGTAGTTAAAAGTAGTGTTGCATTTGAAACTATACTGTCTTTCCTGTCTTCTCATGTTCACTCAGAAATGCCATCAATGGAGACTTGACCATGCAAAATCCTACAAAAGCTGAGGGCACTCAGGACCTTTCAGGATTGTGTTAGAATTTAGCAAAACACAGTGCAGTGTTACCAGTTGGTATTTGATCTGTATTTAAACAAATAAACCCCCTTTATTTTGAAGAAAGGAATGTGATGGTTTTCTTTCATCCTCTAGAATGCATTCCTGTGCTGGATAATGCTACCCTTGCTTTTGGCAAAGGGAATCTATAGTGCTTGTTATTTTGTGGCAGAAAAAAAAAATCTTGCTTGTTTATTTTAATAGAGGATGTGAAGGAAGAGAGGAGGAAAAACATTAATTCATCCTCTGGTTCTTGATCCATCCTCTGTTACCACAGGTTCAAATGAAATATACTGTAAAGCAGAACAACTATGGGAAGCTGTTCAGAATATTGGCATGTATTGGTGGATAGTACTTGCTTGGTAAGACAGCATGCTGTTTCTTGAGATGGATCTGAACAGTGGGAGTGGTATTAATTAGGGGTCTACATATTGTGTTCTTGGTTCAACCTATTTGAATTACAGGTTGGCTAATGAGGCTGCCTAAACCTGATGGAGAGCTCAATTTAGTTGTAGTATTTGTTACTTAGAGATGCATAAGAAGCAAGAAGTGTACCTTAAGATCCCAGGCTGATGCATTTGGCACTTTATTTTTGATAAATGCAGATAGATATCAGGCCCATGAGTTCAGTTAAGTTTTAAAATCTGAATGTTTTAAAGATAAGGATGTTCATTTATTTTCTTATTTTAAAATATTTGGAGATCTTTTGCTTCCTGTTTAATAGTTTTCAGGTTATTAATCAAATATTTGTGTCTTTTTAGCTTTTAGAATGTATTCAGTAGATATCTGACTTGCACCATCTGGTAAGAATTGAACTTACCTTCTTTGGACTTTTTCTGTGATTCCTTTCAAGTTATCCCCCAGGATTGTGCCTGGATTGAATTGATCAATGAAAGGGTGAGATATATTAGGTAGATTGTTAAACAGCAGCTCAGTCAGTTGTATTCTGCTACCTTTAGACGATGGTACTTCTTGAATGCTGTAACATCTCTCTAAACCTGAATGTATTTTTATGGTACAAAGTGGTTTTTAAAGAATAAGCGTTTGCTGCCCTCCAGTGGTTAAAAAGATCATAAACTTCTTCACATTCAGCTCAGATTAATAGTTT